CCGATGACTTTTGAAGTTGGAGATTCGGTTTTGCTTAAAGTCTCGCCGTGGAAGGGACTTATAAGATTTGGAAAAAGGGGAAAGTTAAGTCCAAGGTTTATTGGACCGTTTAAAGTTCTTCAGAGGATTGGGAACCAAGCTTACAAGCTCGAACTACCAGAAGAACTGAATGGAATTCATAACACTTTCCATGTGTGTTATTTGAGGAAGTTCACGGAGAAGTTCCCGACATAATTCCACTTTCAGAGTTGAGGATCGATGAGAACAAAAGGTTGATTGAGGAACCGGAGGCAATTGTTGACCGAAAGACTAAGAAATTGCGACGTAAGATGGTGGAGTTAGTGCTTGTCCGATGGAAACACACGAATGGGCCAAATCTCACCTGGGAGACGGAGAGTGACATGATGAGTCGCTATCCGCATTTGTTTGCTGGTGTGTGATTCCGGGGACGGAATCATTCTAAGGTGGAGAGAATTGTAACGCCCGTGTTTCTAGGCTTGCCATTTTTAGCAATGTAATAGTCTAGGTTAACCTTGTAACTCAACTTGAAATAATAAGAATGTATTATTTGTGAATTATTTGAATTATGTGATTTATGTGTGTATTTTCTTAATTTTATAATTTAATAAATTAAGAATAAAATAAGCGTCAAAATTTAAGTGTGAGATAAGCCCGACATCTTTGCATAAAGTTGTAGTGGTCGAAACAAGGATTCCGGGATATAAGGAATGCCAAAATCCGAGTTATAACGAAGAAGTTATGACCTGTCGAAGTTTCGCGACAGAACCGACACGACGCCGAGTGACGTAAAATATGAATTTAAGATAGAGCGATATTTAGCCTTAGCGATCTAAACGAAAGTCGTAGATTTCGTTAAACCGAGAGCGTGCATAAAAGGAACGCCCAAATCTGACTTCGTATGAGGAAGTTATGATTTTCTGAAGTTTCGACGTGGCAGTATGCAGCCCGAATACTCGATTTGAGATCGAGCGGTTTTTAGCCGAAACAATCTAAATGAGAATCGAAGATCTTGTTGTTAGTAGCGAAGCAATGAAAAGTTAGGCGAGAACGGACGTCAGACGAAGAAGTTATGAATTTATAACGAAGTTTTTCTGTCCCGGCCTTCTAAAAATAAATAATAAAAATAAAAGTCAAAATTAGCCGACGGAGTCTAAATGAAAGTTGTAGAGTATGGTCTGACCTTCGCGTGGATATAAAGAACGTCGAAAACGGAGCTCGTATGCGAAAGTTACGCAATTTAGAAGTTTGACAAGTCAATTACGCCCCGCGTAATTTGAGTACGCCCCGCGTACTCAGTCGGATGCAACTTGTCTGACCAATACTCGAGTGCCACCAGTCGACGCACGCAGTGACGTCAAAGTACGCCCCGCGTAACCCGAGTACGCCCCGCGTACTGAGTACGCCCCGCGTAATTGAGTACGCCCGCGTAATCCCAGACCCAGCAGCCTATAAATAGAACTCGAATTCAGCCATTTTCTCTTGTTCAAACTCTTCCCTCTCTCTAAGTTTTGCCTCGTTTTGCGTGCCGTTTATACCCCAAAGCCCCGGTAATATTCCCGAGCCCCGAAGTAAGATCCGAAGCCCCGAGGATCCCGAAGAGCGTTATTCCCGAGCCGAAACGCTGCCCGCGAGGAGCCCGGTTTTGTGAAGATCTTCCAGATCTACGGAGAAACACCTCTTCTGCAAGCCGTAGTGCTGCCCGATCATCTTTTGATCAAGTGAGTGTGTAGTTATTTTCATTCCAACGCAATATTATGAAGTATTTCCTATAAAATACGTGTTATGTGTATATACTTGGTTGTTATACGTGTGAGTGTATATTCACTCTCTTCTATCTTATAGATCTGATGTATTCTCTATGAAATACGTGTTATGTGTGTATGCCTCATCTGTTATGTGGAATATGTATTGATTAAAACATGTTATACAGGTTTTTAAACTATGTATAAAAATGTATATTTTTATCTACTAATATGTTGGGTAGAACATGGGTAGATAATTGGTGTGTAATAAACAGATGAGAGGCCTCGGTGTTATTGGTGTTATTCTAGTCATTCAGCAGAGTATGGATGACGACCACGGACTATTCTAGACTGTCCTGTGGAACACTAGCAGGCTCATTACCTGTAGGTGTTGTGAACGACGTGTTCACCGGTGTACTCTATCCCCCACATGGTTGCCTTTAGGACACTTATTGTTGAGGAAGCCCCTCTGCAGTGATGTCCGTCCCGATGAAAAATCCTGAAATAGGTTCCTTATAATAGACGTTATTTTTAGGAACGTAAGGTGAGGATAACGGGAATGGGTAATCGGGTTTATTGTTGATGGTTGAAATTAAATATAATTATTGTGGGTTGAAAACCCTATATGCTCACCAGGCTCCCAAGCCTGACCCACTCAGTTGATTTATTTTACAGGAAGTGGCGCAAGAGCTTAAGATGGGCGAACATCAAGTTGTTTTGTTTACAAGTCTGTATATGTATATATTTGTTGAATGACTTGTAATGCTATCGTTTATGCTTTATGATCTGTATCGGAACATGACATCCCGTCTTTTGATTATGAAATGAAATCATATTTCTTTATGAAATGTTTTGATAAATATCTATTTTATCATGTTTTGTTTTTGGGAACAAATTCCGCATCTCTTTTAAAATTAAAAGGATTTACTCTGAAAATTACTTTAAAAAGCATAAATGAAATCGGTCTTTTCTGGCCGAGATTTTAGGGATGTCACAGTTGTGGTATTTTTTTGTAGTAAAACTATTAGGGTTAACTTTGGGTTGCAGTGAAATGGTAGATGGATCCATTTTTGGTCTGTAAACTGCACGTCATTTGCTACGAACGGTAAATTGAAGGTTGTTAGGATTCATTTTTTAAAAGGTTTATGATATTTCCATATTTATATACATTTTATGCAATATTTTAATACATTTTTTGTTAATATTCTGGTAATTTGCAATGATATATCGTACATATGAGATTAAGTTTTATTTTGCAGCCAAAAGGAACATTCTTGAAGATAAAGGGCCAAAAGAGACAAGAAGTGGAACTTTGGAGGATTGAAGAATTTAAAGAAAAAATTCCTACGAAAAGCCCAAATCACGATGTGGCCATGACTTACACGACGTGGAGTGAGTGTTTTAGAAGATAATTGCATTGCACGGGAAGTCAGAGTCCTTGCTCGATAAGGATTCATCTTAAATCACGACGTGAAATCCCTGTTCACGTTGTGAATCACGAACTTTCCCTAAACTATATATATTCATTCACTTTCACGATTTTAGAAGCTTTTAGAGACTTGGAGGGTTTAGAAAACGAATTCTGGAGAAAAATAAGTCAGATAATTCAAGTGTTAAGCATCCAAGTTATAAGAATTGAGTGAAGATCATAACCATTACTTTGATTTGGTACAAGTTGAAAATGTCTTTAATTATCGAATTTGGGTTTATTTTATCATTCATGAGTATCTAAATCAAGCTGCTTTTGTTTAGCTAGATGAAGTTTCAACTTATGGATTAGTTTAATTAATTATGAATTTTAATAGTTGGTATGTACTTGTGTTTGATTGTTAAATACCTAGCATGCTAATATTTGACACATTAATTGCTTGAATTCATGTTTCATGTAGTGTAGTGACTATTAAATTACATGAACTTCACACCTCGTGATTTAGTGAACATTGAATTGTTAGTGCTAGGATCGACCCACTCTTAGATAAGTAATTAAAGTAATTGAATTCAACTATGCTGGAGAACATAAATTATGACCATAATTATGTTTGATAAATAAATCTTACATAACCCAATTGATAATCCATAACTGATTTTGTGTTTGATTGTGTGTGACCATGCATAGTTTTACATGAATTAGTTAAATATTCGTAAATTTGAACTTAAATTACTTATAATATGAAATTAGGTAACCAACTTTAATAATCCATAATTGTTAGCTAACGATAAAGAAGTGGTTTCGAACTAAATGAAAGTGTTTTTAGTAATTGATTGAATTATTGTTTAGTGATTAAGTTTGTCTGAACTTTCAAGATCAGATAAAAACTAATTCAACTTTTGCTTAGATTTTAGGTTAATTTAGTAGTAATTAGGTTAATTAATTAAATTCGTATATACTATCTACGAAAAGGTCCACTGCCTTTAGTCGAATAGATAATTAGATAGTTGGTAAAATTAGATGTGGTAGTATTTGGACACCAATTTAGTAGTTGAAAGTAAAAGATATATGAATAAAATTGAATATGGCGCATGATATATATAGGGGTAATATTTAAAAAAATAAAAATTTACTGTTTTTAAACGGTCACACACCAAAACATATCCAAAAACATACACTTAAACGACCAAATTTTCAATTTCCTCCGCGGTGAAAATGCATTGTACGACATGTTTACCACACTCCTTCCTTGTCAGAACTGTGTTCACCGCACCACCATGTTGTGTGGTAGATACCGCACCACCACGGTGTGCAGTAGATGGGTGTATGGAAAGACCTTAACACCTTATTCCCGAGTTCTACTTACGGAGGAAAATGTGAGGATATAGAGAAAAATTAAGGGGTGTCGAAGAAAAACTGTGTTACCAAATTTTATTAATGAAAAGAAAGTGAGAGTAGAGAAAGGATTTTGGACTCGTATTTTTCTTTTAAATTTTCCTTCCAATTTGGATGGATTTGGGAAGAAATTCAGGGAAAAGAAAATTTTAAGTTTTATTTTCTTTTTCTTCAGGAACACAACAACTTAAAATTTTCCTTTCATTTTCTTCGTACTCAGAAACACAGAATAAATGAATCTTTTCCTGCCTCTCCATTTTTTTCTATCAAAAATTTTCTTTTCTTTTCTTTATTGAATTTACAAAAAAATCTTTATTAAATTAAAAAAAAAAAATAAACTCGGGAACGTTTAGCCTAGTAATTATATAGAAAACCAATAGCTTAACTTTGAAGGGGTATAAATGTCATTGGATCTCCCACTTGATGAAAATTCAACTTGTTTTCAGCAAAGGGGGGGTTGGTGTTGTGTGGAACGACGGAGATGATGATGAAGAAGAAAGAACACCACCCTAATCTCATCGCATTCAGAAACCATCTCTTCCTTCTTCACTAACACATCTTCCAAAAACCCTACGGTTATATTTAACTTTCGTCGTATTCGTATCCAGTTCCCTCTTTCCCATTTCTTCTTCTATCTGTTACAAGTTATTTCAAGGAAACGCACATGGATGTTGTAGCAATTGAAGCCTCGGTGTGGAACACTTCATTATATAACACACTCCGCAAGCCTTCTCTTTTCAGATTATCAAGACGAAGGTGCCCTAAAATCTTACATTGTACAGCGGGAGCTACTAGATTCAGCGAGAGGGTTATTCTCCGAAACTTTGTTGATTCGAGATTTTCAAGAAATACAAGTTATAGTGTTGTTCGAGAGGACAGAGGATTGAGATCTGTTTGGATTAAAAGTAGTAGTAGCGTGGACAACCATTCTACAGCCCCAAGTGTGGATTTTGATTTTCTTCAAGTTTTGGTAAAGAGGGGATTCGTTTTGGCGGCGGTGTGCTGTGGGGTTTTAGTGTTGGGATGCAGAGGGGTTCTTGCTGCGGAAGGAGTCTTGAATGGGGGATTTGTGGGGTCCGGTTTAGAGCAGATTAAGTTGTCACTGACCAACTCTCTGCCCAAGGTTTTGATGGTTCTCAAGGTTTTGAAGGAACAAGGTCTAATTTTGGCTGCTCTTTTTGGGCTCTCTGCGTTTTTCTCCATGGCGGAGACTTCAATTACTACTCTGTGGCCTTGGAAGGTATTCATGGTTTATAACAATTTCCGTTACGTGTATCCTCCTTATTCTCTATTTATATACTCTGGGTTGTTTGGATAGGAAAAAAAAAAGAGACACTAAGCTAAGTTTAAGTGTTTGGATATCAATCCTTAAAAATCAGCTTATTATGGTAGGAATAAGCTAAATAAGCTGATTTTAATAAGCATGTCCCTTGCTTATTGCTTATTCCCACCACAATTAAGCTAATAAGCTATAAACTAATTTATCCAAAAACCCCCTTACTAAAATTTTTCAGGTTCGGGAGTTAGCTGAGAAAGAGTCTGAGAATGGTGTGTTCAAAATGCTCCGCAATGATGTTACTCGGTTCTTGACAACCATACTTATTGGCACAACGTACTACTCTTGTGTCTATTACTTGCTTCTTATGATTGGATTGATTATAATGTGGTAATTCCCATTCCCTTTTTGATATTGTCTCAGCGTTGTCAATATTGGAGCAACCGCCCTTGTCACTGAAGCAGCAACCACAATATTTGGTGAAGCAGGTGTGAGTGCAGCCACAGGAGTAATGACGGTTGCTGTTTTGCTACTCACTGAAATAACTCCAAAAAGTATAGCTGTTCATAATGCCACTGAGGTCGCAAGATTTGTGGTACGCATATAACTTATATATATATATATATATATATATATATATATATATATATATATATATATATATATCTGAAATACTGAAACCAAGGATTGTGATTTGAGGAATTTAGCTGACAAATTGGGTGGCATTGGCTCTAGGTCAGGCCGATTGCATGGCTTTCCTTAGTCTTATATCCTGTTGGAAGGGTCGTAACATATCTCTCAATGGGAATGCTCAAGTTGCTTGGTCTCAAAGGAAGAAGGTGTGAATTGTGATGTTTATGATTTTTTTTTACTTGCTGTGTTTTTGTTGAATGAATTCATATTTTCTTCTTTGTGGTAGTGAACCGTATGTGACTGAGGATGAACTGAAGTTGATGTTGCGAGGAGCTGAACTAAGTGGGGCCATAGAAGAGGAAGAGCAGGTTTGGAGTCTTGTTATCTGCAAAAAGCATGCATTTGGTCATCAAGATTTGTGTGTGTGTTTATAATGGTTTGTTGAAGTGTTATTGCAGGATATGATTGAAAATGTTTTAGAAATAAAAGACACATACGTTCGAGAGGTTATGACACCTTTGGTTGATGTTGTCGCCAGTGATTCCAGTGCAACACTTGTCGATTTCCACACCTTGTGGTTAACTCATCAGTATTCAAGGTATGTATGACTTACATTAATTTTGGAAGTTTTTTTTTCTTCTAAAAGTAAAGCTCTCTCGTTCACATCACAGGGTACCAGTTTTTGAGCAACGTGTTGATAATATAGTGGGCATTGCATATGCTATGGATCTACTAGACTATGTTCAAAAGGTTAGATAATTTTTGAAGAATTTGTTTTGTAGTATTTAGAGTCTGGTTTAATGTTGGATTTTGTTCTGTTTTAAAGGGAGATCTACTAGAAAGTACGAGTGTGGGGGATATGGCTCATAAACCTGCTTATTTTGTGCCTGGTATTTTGATTCTTTCATCTTCTTTTCCTTCATAATGTCATGTTTTAAAAGAAATAAAAAGTAAAAGAAAGGGTGAAGGCCCTGAATTTTTTCTTTGATTGGACGTACCTTGAAATTGAATGAATGTTTGTTACAGATTCAATGTCAGTGTGGAATCTTCTTAGAGAATTTCGAATCAGGAAGGTGCATATGGCTGTTGTCTTGAATGAATACGGTGGAACAGTTGGGGTATGTATGTTTTGAATGGTTGCAGATGTTTACATATTTCTTTAATGCATAATTGCATGGTTGCAATGCTCTACAGATTGTAACTCTGGAAGATGTGGTTGAAGAAATTGTTGGTGAAATTTTTGATGAAAATGATTCAAAAGTAAGCCCTTAATCTCATGCTTGTTGCTTTCTTTTATATTAGCTGCTATTACCGATTGAAAGGCATGGGCTAATATATATATATATATATATATATATATATATATATATGTATGTATGTATGTATGTATGTATGTAGGAGGAAATAGAGAAAAAGACTGGATATATTGTAATGAGGGCCGAAGGAATTTATGATGTGGATGCAAATACATCCATTGACCAGCTTTCTGAAGATCTCAACATAAAGATGCCAGAGGTATTGTTTCTTTTAACTTTTAATAATTAATTGCATCATGTGGATTGTGAATTGTGTGTGTTTGTTTGATAATGACAGGGACATCAGTATGAAACGGTATCAGGGTTTGTGTGTGAGGCATTTGGATATATCCCAAGAACAGGGGAAAGTATAAAACTGGTACTTGACAAGGAAGAAGAGCATGATGAGTATACTACCGAGGATGATCAAAATCAAAATCAAAAAGAAAAAGAAAAGAAGCAAGTATTTCAAATAGAGGTTTGTATGGTTGTGATTTTTATTGAATTGGTTAATGTTTTTTCATTTTTGTGTGAGAAATGAGGTGGTGGTGTTGCATGCAGATTTTGGCAGGAAATGCAAGAAAGGTTGGTGCAGTGAGGTTTGAACGGGTAACAGCACATGAGGAGGGGTCGGATTCATCATCATCATTGTTGGAGTTGGAAAGAAGCAGCAGCACAAAGGAAATGAAGAAGGTGGTTCCAAAAATCATGAAAAGGAAATTCGGGGGTGATGTCAGTGATGATGAAACTTGTAGGAGTGAGGAGGAGGAGGAGGATGTAATCCCACATCAACTCAAACAAGGCGAATGAAAACTGAAAATTGAAAACCCTTTTTTCTTTTCTTCAATTGCAATATTTTATATTCATGAATGAATGAGGGTAGGCTAAGTAAAACTTGTAGATTTAGAGGCCGGAGGGACTACTACTAGGGAGGAAGAGAGAAATTTGGTCTGATGAAAGTAATAAATTACCTCCAATTGGAATTGAAAAATAAGGAACAAAAGAAAGAAACATTTGATTTTTTTATTCTCCAAAAAGTACAACTGTCAATATGCCATTTCAATACATCAATTTTAACACATTACAAAGCCTAACATATAATTTAGGTGGTATGGGTTAACATGTCATGAAAATAAATATTTTATTAACAATTTTTTTAAAACTAAATATTCCATTACATGAAAATAAGAAATACATAACACCTCGATTAAAACTTAAAAACACAAAGATTCAAACATAATATTTAATGAAAGTCTGTCCAAAAGTTGGTCTTCTAACTCATCTTTGGGATTTCTAACTCATCCATAGGATGAGGATGATAGGTCAAATTGTGATGAAGATCGTGATGGATTTGTAATGATTTCATCAATTGCTGAGCGTGCAAAAGATATCCCCGTAATTCCAGTAAAAATCAATTGCAAAAGATATTCCCATAACTCCAGTAAAAATCAATCTTGCTCTTCAAAATACCCGTAACTCCAGTAAAAGTCAATCTCATTCTTCAAAATAGGAAAAATGACATATTAGCACATTAAAGTTTTGACATTTGTCCGATTTGATCATTAATTTTTTTTTTTTTTTTTTTTTTTTTTTTTTTTTTTTTTTTTTTTTTTTTTGCATATCAGACCACTAAACTCGTATTTAACCTTTTAATTTAGTCATTTTCCCGAATTTAGCAGGTTACCAGGTAATAAGGCTCATGTGGCATTTATAATTAATTTATCTTTATAACTGATAAATTAACTATAAATGTCACATCAGTCTTGTTACTTGGTAACCTGCTAAATTCGGAAAAAAAATACTAAATTAAAAGGTCAAATATGAGTTTAGTAGTCTAATGTGCAAAAAAATAAAAAAAATAAAAAATTAGTAATCAAATCGGACAAATGCCAAAACTTTAATGTGCTACAGTGTCATTTCCCCTTCAAAATATTGATAAACATCGCTAAGTGGGGTCTTCAAACTCCCATGCCTAAACAGATGAGGGATCTCGACCATACATGTGACAACCCAAAATTTTTATCTTGTACAGTTATTCGAATCAATCAATGCCATACTCGTTTTTGCTATCTTCTAGTATTGTTTAGAGTCAATTAAAGTGTTCTAAACCTAATACCTTCAAAGTTAGAGTTTAGAATTGGGTTCCACAAGTTCACCACTTCCCAAAATGGCCAAACACTCCAACATGAGGAGTGTACGGCCGTACACTTGGGTGTGCGGCCGTACACCCCCTTCTGGCCGTACACTCTCATGTATAAATGAGAGACTTAACCTGCATTCAACCCTTTTCACACTCCTAAGCTAAGAACTCGTTCTCTCTAAACTACGATCCGATTTTTCATCTAGATCTTCAAGATTGTAAGTGTTTCTTCCCTTAAATTGTTGATTCCTTTCACTATCTTGTATGGATCATTGATTTCATCCCTGAAATTACTTCATTTTGGTAGATCTTAAAGGGTTCTTCAGTTTCACCAAGAACACCAAGAACACTTACTAAGTTCTTGGACCTCAAACACCCCTAAAGGCTTCTATATCGTAAGCACTCCTTTATATGCTTGTTACTTACTAGTTATGCTCCTTAGAAATCATCCAAACCATGATCATCAAGGAGTGTACGACCGTACACACCCCATGTGGCCATTGATGGGTTTCGAGCACTATATCAGTCCTATGGTGTACATGTAAACCCTAATGCTTCGGATCTAGTTTGTCTAATGAACATGCAATTGATTTATCCAAAGCCATAGACCCTAGATCTATCATACTATGAACTGAATTAAGGGTTTAGAAATTACCTTTGATTGTTATGTAGTAATAACAATCTATTCCTCCTTGTAATTGGCTTCAGAAAGCTTAGTGCCTCAAGTGTTGCACCTCTAATGGAGTCACAAACACCAAGAGCAATAAGGATGAAGAAGGAGAAGAGGAGAGGCACCCAAAAACGTCTAGAAACCCTAAGGAATCAGTTAGCCACATTTTTGGGGCCTAAGGGGTCCTTTATATACTTGTGTGGGCTGCTAGGGTTTCAGTCAAAACCCTAATGGACAACTTAAACTCTAAGCAGCCCATGGAACCTTCTGGAATAAGGCCATGGAAGAAAATATGATGGGCTCCTAACATAATTTCGTTCATCCCTTGTTCCTTTAGCATTCCCTAGCCCAATAACTTAATTATCCAATAATTGCAGTCCAGTCCCTTATATTTAATTAATCTCTTTTAGTCACAAAATTAATTCCCAATTAATTCTTGACTAATATTAATTTAAAAAAATATGATTTCTCCTTTAATAATAGTATTCTCATAATATATTAATAAATCATAATTAATCCTCTCTCTCCATAATTCATCCTATCAAGTTGCTTTGGTGAAGGCAACCCAAAAGGACCATGCACTATCGGGTCAAGTACATACCAAAATAGTTATGGACGTAGACACTAATCCAACAGTATCCTACTTGGATAAGTCTAATAACTATTATGCGTATGAATTCAGATCCTGATCCGCAATCGTAGCTTTCAAAAGCCGCTGTCAACTCTGATCTTATCAGAAGCGTGTCCTTTAGATAAGGAATCATATATTCCTCCATTCTTGATATTGTATAGACTGAGACATGGATTTAAATCATTCTCTCTGTCTATATATTGTTTCCCGACTTTCGCTTTATGATGACTGACAACAGAGTACAATTGAACACATCAACTTAGTCCCGGCTTGGCCAAGCGCTTAGGGTGCCATCACTAAATCATCGAGGGGCCCACATATATCGCTCTTATCCCACTTTCGGCAAAAGGAATGGATAAACTTCGACTCAATGCTCGCTTGCACTTACTCACTGAATCACACACAACAATACGTTTTATAACACTAGGTTACTGGTGCGTTTACATATTATCAATGTGTAACCGACTCACAAGATACAACTTACACATCTTGGTTTCAAGAATATAAGATATTATCGTCTCACCAATCACTCGTGATAAAATCCATGAAGTGATCCAAGTGAGCGTTGGTTTATTCCAATACTCTAATCTTATAGCAATACTCATGAGCCCTGCAACAAACTTTTGCTATGTCTAAAACACTTTAGACAATCTACAGCCAGATTCATCACAATCTTCTTTCATTCCTACTTCCAAAGAATGAGCGACTGTGGAAGGGTTTGAATAATCTTATTATTCGGGAAGTCAAAACATGCAAAGTAAAACACAAGGATAATATTAATCCTATATGGCCTCATACCTTTGAGTATAAATAAAACATTTTATTTAATCACCATATTGATTACTCATAATTTATTGTTTCGGGTAATCAACTTCTTACTTGAATTATAACTACAATTGTCCCATGCTCTTAGCATGCACACTATGTTTACCTATGATCCTTATTTTGTGAAATAGTATAATTGAATAATATTTTCAATCACACTCATTTCACAAATCCTAATCCATTAGTGTAAGAATACAAAATTCTAGCCACTACTAGAATATGTTAGATTCTAACATTTTATGCAACAGTCCTTTCGTAATGTCACGGCGCCAAAGTCACCAAGACTTTGCCAATGAAATCACAAAGTGATCTATTGGATATTGTTACAAGACAATTCCATAGTCATGAAGTCTCATATTCAAAATACATTCCTTTGAACATCCTTCTTGCATAAAAGTTTCTGATCTAGACATTTATTCTCGATATCCAACTCCTAATATGGAAACATTTCCATATTTTCCATATGACAACTCATTCTAAATAGAATCTTATCTATTCATAATAATGTTAATATGGTCCATCCATGACTATACTTTCAACTGTCCACAAGCGACCAATCCTTGGCGAACCTTAGATTGTCCTTGACAGTTGTTTTAATTATTTTAGTCAAAACTGGTTCTATTTCATTTTTCCCTCTAAATGCCCTAGACATTTGGAAATGTTAGAACGGTCGAATATTATAGCATATGCAATTGATCCTATACCCGAAACATATGGGATGCAATTCATAATGAAAAACGTGATACTTTACCAGTTTCTTACTATAATATCGTCATAATATTTCTATTTGCCGTGTTTTCAAAATTCGAACTATGAAGAGGGATGCCGTAATCATAATCGAACTTTGAGAATGCAAATAATAATTATACCCTTGACTAAATTCAATTAAGATTTCTCGATCTAAGCTTTTATATTGGAAACGAAGTATAACATTCTCTCCCTTAATTATAGCAAAAACAACTTTTCTACCCCTGCAATTTTGCAAAGTGAAACTTTTTTTTTCTATAATTAATATTGCCAACTTGCAATACTTAAATAATAATCATGCTCCCACTAACATGATGATTATATCCATTCTAGCATAACATTTATGCTCCCACTAGATTTGACATGTATCAGAAAACAGTTGGACTTCTTAGAAAACAATACTTATTGACTTCCAAAGTTCATATTTCTAATACGATGTGCTTCGATAAGCCTTTTATCTAAGCTTCTCAAACTCACACACATTTCCTTAGACAACTTACATGTGTGTCTAAACTAATTCAAAACTTATATTACTAAGTTCCAAATGTTCAGACCAATTTCCAAATCTCACAATTCGAACTATGAAGAGGGATGCCGTAATCATAATCGAATTTGAGAATGCAATTTAAATAATCACTATCTCCTTAAAATCTCTCTTACTGAAAGCGTTTCCTCACAATCATTTTCATGAAGGAGAGGAACCTTATGACACTTAGATTTTATGGTGTATGTATTCCTATCCATGTGAATTTTCCATAACCATAATCAAAAGATAATGTTTGTGACAAATTCAAACTCCTATGGACATAACTTGTTCATTCTTAATTTCTTGCCATCAAGGGTCCTACCATTGCTTCCAAGTTATCTAGCAGCTCACCTATGCTAGTCAATGTACTTTCATTGAACAAGGTGCTTGCCCTTATGCAACCTATTGAGAAATCGTAGAACTCATATGCATAATTAACTCAATTGGATTGGCACAGAAACAAGAATACGTCAACACGATAGGTTACAAACCTCAAGTCGTGTGCTAGTGTTTAATA